GAGCTTAAGGGAGTTCTGGAGGAATTACAACATCTGTGATGCAATCAAAAATACTGCTGATTCTTGGGATGAAATGAAGCAGTCAAATATGAAAGGAGTGTGGAACAAATTGTGCCCTCAATTTGTTCATGCTTCTCAGGAGTTTACAGCTCACTACACTGCAAAAGCCAGGCAAGCTGTGGTTGACATTGGTAATCAGCTGCAGTTAGATATCAGTGCAAAAGATGTCATACAGTTACTCGACTCCCCTGCCGAAGAACTGACCAATGAAGATCTTATGGACTTAAAGCAGCAGCTGATAGCATTTGAGGAAGAAGACTGGGGCATACAAATCCAGAACTGGAAAAAGGTTTTGACAAAAGGCTTAGCTCAAGACTTTGTCTCATTGAAGCAGGGATGGCAAATTTAAAGGAGCAAGATCCTAATATAGAGAGATTCACAAAGTTTAACAAACAATTACGGAGGGCTTGAGCTGCTACAAGGCCATTTATGATGAGACCCCCCAAAAAAGCTGTGTCCAACCTCCCTTGATGCCTACTTCAAGAAACTGACACCACTAGTTAACCTGTCCCTCCAGCAATAGGTTCAAATCTTGACTTTCTAGCATCAGGCTCAACACCTTCAACAACAGCCATCTACTGTTAAGCTTTAATCATGATTTCTTTGTCTAAACTATTTTTAAAAGTGTTTTTTTATTATTATTATTATGGTTGGTCACATAGTCAGCCAGAGTTTAGACTGGATTACACTATATTATTATTACTATTATTATATACTATATATCAGTTATGGCAAACTTTAGAGACCAAGTGCCCAAACTGCAACCCAAAACCCAATTATTTATCGCCGGGTGCCAGGTGGGCGTAGCTGCAAATTTAGGCCCTTGAGCTGAAATGACAGTCTTGTACTTTTAAGTCTGAGATTGTACGGTATTGGCATCATATCTAGCATGCCCTATATGGCTAAGAAAAATACCTCTCACAGACCTTATTGGGAATAAAATCTATAGTAGATCCAGCTCTTTTGCAGTGGAGCTCTCCAGGTTACTTGAATATACATACACTGACTTGGCTCATTGATTATTTTAAGCCATGGTATCACTATTACTTGAGTATATTTACTCAAGTTTGTAACAACTAGATTTACCCAACACTAAGTTCATCATGGCTTTGGACAATTAGTGAACCTAGCAAAGCTGTCCAAAACCACTGTGGACATTGTAGCCTTCTTATAAAACCCAACTATTCTGACTCAAAGACACAGAGGAAATCCTTTGAATCATAAATAACTGACAAATCTAGGTCATTTGATATTATCTTTTTCCCTATAATCTTCTTTCTCCTATGTACAAAATTTAAATACACTTCAAATCAGACACTTTCAAAAACACAAGTTATTCTTGTAATATGAGGTCCAATTTTTAAAACGGAAAGGCAAAATAATTTTCCAAAAGGAATATATCTGTATCAACACACTTGAACTTTAAAATGTAAATCTAAGCACTTAAGAGAGACAAACAGTAAAAGTCAAAATGACAAATGTCACTTGCTCTCATCAGTTGAGAGCCAAAAGCTAAGCTACAAGAAAAAACTAGGCTTTGACTGTTTGATTTAATAAAGGAGCTTTAGATCATATGGGACCACTTCCAAAACACCTCTTCCCAACACTGGGCCATTTCTTCTTCCAAGTTTGGTTGTTTGCTCTGGAAGCTGTTCTCTGCCATCTTTGTTTGCAACTGCTTTCCTTCACATTCTTCACACAGAAGCAACATGACTATGCATGCACACAACACATGTGAAAGCAGCAGAAAGCAGCTTTCCAAAACAACTGTGATAAATTAGGGGAAAATGTGGCTGCTTTAATGATCCATACAGAGGTATTTTGTATATGATCTCTTTTAAAGGAGTTCTAAAGTCCTTTTTAAAAAAGCAGTATATGATTCCAAGTACAAAGCCTCATAACTACTTGCAGCATCTCTATTTCCTGCCCTGGGATAACGTGCTTAATTTTGTTAGTGCTTATTTAGTTTGATACAATATCTATATTGTTTGAATGCTCAAAATTAAATATATTTTGATAATATAACTGTTATGATCAAGCCATGTCATTAAGTTATGGTAATATCAGAATGAATGCTAATTTAAAGTTTTCCTTTAGCTCTCTTCCTATACACTGCAGACATCCTGCACAATATTTGGAGAAGGGTGACTAAGGAGAACATACAAAGTGACACAACTGATGAGCTATATTAGGATTATAAAATAAAAATATAAAATTCGTTGCAAGATTTTTATGAAACAGAATTCATGGCTCCTCACCTTTTGCAAATTCAGACATTCTCAGAGTAGAAACTATTATGTGGATATCTGTCCAAGAACAAAAATCATGGACGTCCAGAAGAGCAAGCAGAAAAATCAAAAGAAGATCCAAAAGAAAAGCTTATATTAATTTCCAAGCTTCTTATACAGATTTCCAAAGCCACTCATGCTTTTGGCAGTCAAGAGGAATACACTCTAACTTCATTAGAAGTACTGAGTCACCAATGTTCTGTCCTATACAGGTTGTTAACAGGATACATAATAGTGTATCAGCAGCAAAAGTCCCAATATTATGAAGGATTTGTGTTTAAAAAGAGGTGAAAGGCATTGCTTATTTGGCCAATATCTCCCTTAAAAATGCAAAGAAACCAGAGAATTAGATGAATTCTGCATTTCTATAGAATGCAAGGAAGACAAAAGAACAGTTGCAGATTCTCCCCTGTGAGGCATCACCTTATGACCTTGAGACTCAGCCATGGCAGGCCGAAACAAAGCAACTTTCTAGTCTTAACACTGAGTCGCCAAGTTAGAAACCTAGCATCCAGAAGCAGATTGGGTTTTAACATTTGTAACAGAAAACTGCATTATGTACATGGTCACAAATAGACTACATAACTAAACACATAATTTAGTCTATGTTGATTACACAGCAGTAAATAGAGAGCACTGAAAAATGTTTCAAACAACCTTTCAGTACTACACAAAGACATAAACATATACAAAGATCCTGGGTGGTTTAATTTAACTTTTCATATGTGGCAGAAGAGATGGATCCTAGAATCAGACTCAAACAAGTCAAAGCATATGATCTCATGTCACCACACAACTCAAAGAGCCTGATACCACAGTTCCTCTGGCATCCTTTGTCTCTTCATGTCAAATGTGGAAAAGAAAATTTATTTCAGTAGGACCACAAAACTCTTCCAAACTCTTCCAACTAATGAGAGCTTAAACTAAAATGCAAACATCAGCTCCATTATTTCTTTCAATGACCCAGTATTAATTGTTTCTGCCCTGAAGATAGTGATTTCCCTCAAAAACAGCCCTATTTTTCAAAATCTGTCACATTTAGTCAAGGATGTTGCTTCATGACCTTAAGGAACAAACACCCCCACTATTCTTGCTGCCAAACACCCCATATGGCTTCCTCATATTGCCAGTTTTATCTTACTATCACTAAATGCTTTTGTTGTATAGCCATCCCTGATATAATTGTCTTAATCTTTCATGAATCCCACACATTTCCTTTTAGATGACCTGAATCTCCAACCCCCTAATCTTACAGGATAATAGCTCTATTATGAACAAGATCATTTCTCAAGGTTTATGGAGATTCTCAATCAACCAGGTCATGGTTTTCCCAAAAGGGAACTGGACCTTATAAGTTTCAAAAAAGTCCAGCTGCCTTTTGGAAAAAGCACCTTTGGGAAAATCATTTCTACCCACTCTCACTTTATACAGCATGTATAATTTTACAGAGCATTTCTATTATACCCTCCCTTTTTACATCTGCCTCTGCTTATCTTGAAAAAGTGAAAGAAAGAAGCAGGTCCTTATATGCCAGGTCCCCACACAACTCTTCTATCTTGCTCTCAAGCCCTTTGGGCCTCAATTGATCAGAAAGGAGACTACAGGTAGTCCTCAATTTACAACAGTTCATTTAGTGACCATTCAAAGTTACAACGGCGCTGCAAAAGTGATTTATGACCATTTTTCACACTTACAGCCATTGCAGCCATCCCTATAGTCATGTGATCAAAATTCAGATGCTTGGCAACTGGCATGTATTTATGATGGCTGCAGTGCCCCAGGGTCATGTGATCACGTTTTGCGATCCTCTTACCAGCAAAGTCAATGGGGAAGCCAGATTCACTTAACAACCGTATTACTAACACCTGCAGTGATTCACTTTACAACTGTGGCAAGAACAGTAAAGCGGGGCAACATTTACTTATCCAATGTTTCACTTAGCAACAGAAATGTGGGGCTCAATTGTGGACGTAAGTCGAGGACTACCGGTAAAAGGAGGACTTTTTAAAAATGCAGTAGCCATCTTTCTCAACTTCCTTCTCTCTCCACAGCATGCGGTCCCCTGGTACACAGGGAGAGGCCGAAGAGGTCAGGGTTACCCCGGGAAAGAGAAAAAGAGCCACGGCACTTGGCGATCCCATCCCATCTCTCTCTCTCTCTGAACAGAGGTAGGTATTTTATACCAGGCTCTCCCAACTAATCGGGAGGCTGCACAATTCCCAGCAAGGCCTCACCAATTCACCTGGCTGGGCGGGTGCGGAGGCGCTTTAAAAACGAGCGAAGGGTGGCTTTTCCTTGGGGACACCCTCTAGCGATGCCCCCATAAAAGAGGGGGCGGTTAGCTTCTCTGAGGCGATCGGTCTTCCGCTTTCCCGGCTTTCCTCTTTTTGAGTCAAAAGACACCGAGCAGGGAGGGCCTTCCCTCCCACTCCTCGGATGCTCCATGCCCTGAGAAAGGGAGTCTCTTCCTTCCCCCCCCCGCCCCTTCGACGGAGACTCTCTGTGGGGGGGGCTCCCCTTGAGACGGGGAAAACCTTCGCTAACCACGTGACCCTACCCCCCCCACACGCGGTCGCCTGTCGCTTTCCCTCACGTGCCACCTCTCTCTCTCCCCCCCCCCACCGCAGAGCTCGTTCGCCTTCAGGGCCTCACCCGATCTCGTCGGCGCCCCCGACGCTATTCATGGCGGCGACGGGGGCAGAACGGCCTGGGGGGTAGGCCCGGCTCGCTGCCCCTCCGCTCTTCTTCCTTCTCCTCCTCCTCCTCCGGCGGCGCTGCGGTGAGAGGCGGTGGCGGGTCCCTAACGCCGCTTTCCTCCCGTCCGCTTCTTCTCCTGGGGTTCACCGCCTGCCACAGGCGCCCTCGGAGCTCCAGGCGCCGCCGCCGTCCTCGCCGCCGTTGCCGCCTTCGGCTTTACCTCACAACTAGAGGGGCCCGGCGACAGTCAGCCAGCTAGCCGCCGCCGCCGTCGCGCGCCTGCGCAAGCGCACGCGCGCGCGCCGCCTGGCGTCCTCTTTCCCCCCTCCCCCCCGCCCAATCTCCTTCCCAGTCTCTTGCCGCCACCAACCGCCGCTACAAGTAGAAGCCGGCTAATACGCCTGCGCAGTAGGGCCGCGAGACCCTTTCTCCCCCCTCCCCCCTCTCCTTTCCTTTCTCCCTCCCAGCAGCCGCTAAGAATATCATTGGCTGCTACGGGGTTTCCGGTAGTGCAGGCGGGCGGGAGGATACGAGGAGGCGGGGAAGCACAGATCGTCTGGAGGACTGTACGCTTTGTTAGGAGCGGGTAGAGTGGTGCACGCGGTCTAACTTCCGTTTTAAAGAACAAGGAGCATGATGGAGAATGTAGTTACCGTACTTTTCTTTCTGGGTTTTTTTTTTTGGTTTTTTTTAAGGAAGTGGACCGTTTGAGTGTGTTGGGCCATTGAGGAAGTGTAGTCCGTTGAAGAAGGAAATTATGGTTTTGATTCCGCGTCTCTGTATTTGGTTTAAGACAAGGGGTTCCCAACCGGGGGTGCGAGATGATATTTCAGGGGGGGTGCGAAAATTTGGGTTTTCAAAATTATAGTGTACTAGTTGTACCCGGCCACGCGTTGCTGTGGCTCAGTCTGGTTAAATGGAAAAGAAAGAAAAGAGAAAGCGCACGTTTGTGTCACAGGTGTGACATCTATATAATCGTAGGTATTTACTAATAATAACACTAAAAACACTAAAAGAGTAGGTATATAAAAACACGCGCTTATTTGAATGCAACGTTGTGTCAAAATTTCAAAGCAATCGGTGAAGAATTTTCGGAGATTTAAGATTTTGAACAAACGAACGTTTACATTTTTATTTATAGATATGCATAATTCATTGCCGTTATTTCGAACTTTTGTAAGGGGTGCGAGAATATATCACAGGGGTCTTGAAACTTGGCCCTTTTATGACTTGTGGACTTCAACTCCCAGAACTCCTCAGCCAGGCCCGCTGGCTGAGGAATTCTGGGAGTTGAAGTCCACAAGTCATAAAAGGGCCAAGTTTCAAGACCCCTGATATATCAGAAGCGTTCTAGGGGTTGGGAACCTCTGATTTAAGAGGACGAAGGAGAAGTGGGAAAGGAATGGAAGCGCCTGTACGTGGGTTGGAATCTGTAGAACTGAGAAGAAATGATTTAACATAGACATAGAACATAGAATTCTTTATTGATATAATGATATAGGGATGATATAGGGGGCTGGACTAGAAGGCCTCCAAGGTCCCTTCCAGCTCTATTCTGATCGATTGATTGATTGGTGAAGTGTGATTGGACACACGAGAAATTTATTTATTAGAGAAAAAAGTAATATCGATTAATGAGTAGGTTGTCCTAGCTGTGAAACCCGTCAACGTGATAAAAAACAAAACAGCAAAGTATTGTTTACATACAAAGTTACGGAAAGAACAACAAAATATTGTCATGCGATTAACACAGCAGCAGTTTTCAAGCTAACGTGCTAATTCTTTACAACAATCTTAACTTGGTGGCTTATGAGTAGTGTGGATGATGGGAACTGTACTTCCCACCTCAAGAGATTCATGTAGAATAATGAAATTAAATTCAGCCAATATTTTAGGTATAAGATGAGTGGCATTATACAGGTCCTCAGTGGAAGGCAGGCTGGTTGCAATTGTTTTTTCTGCAGTGCTAACTATCCGTTGAAGTCTGTGTCTGTCTTGTGTGGTTGCAGACAGTTATAGAGGTGCAAATTCCTTTCTAGAACTGTATAAGCAGGTCCTTGGGTAGTCTGAGCTTTCTGAGTTGGCGCAGGAAAAACCTTCTTTGTTGTGCTTTTTCGATGACATTTTTGATCTTAGGTGTCCATTTTAAATCAGTCTTGATTCCTAAAGCACCTTGCAGATTTCTTGGCAGGATTTTCAGAAGTGGTTTTTCCTTGTCATCTTCTTTCTGGGGCTAAGAGAAAGGGACTGGCCCAAAGTCACCCAGCCAGCTTTCATGCCTAAGGCAGAACAAGAAGTTTCCCTGTTTCTAGTCTAGAGCCTTAACCACTACATTAAGTTGTCTTTAAGGGCGTGTGTGTACGTGCCTTCAAGTCAGTCTTCACACATGGCAACTGCCTGCAATCTTCTTGCCAACGTTTTTTGGAAGTAGTTTGCCATTTCTTCCTTTTTCCCAGAGCTGAGCAAAAGGGACTGGCCCCAAATGCCCCAGCTGGTTTCATGCTTAAGACAGAACTAGAATTCATGGTCTCCCAGTTTCTAACCTGGTGCACTTAACAACATTACTTTGTAAGTAATTTAGGATGGTGAACATAATAATAATAATAATAATAATAATAATAATAATAATAATAATAATAATAATAATAATAGTAAAGTTGGAAGGGACCTTGAAGGTCATCTAGTCCACCCACCCACCCCGCTCAGGCAGGAAACCCTATATCATACATAATGCTCTTTCCTCCTCCTACAGGTAGTCCTTGAGCTATGACCGTAACTGAGCACAAAAATCTCTGTTGTAAAGCAAGACAGTTGCTACGTGAGTTTTGTCCCATAGTATGACCTTTCCTGCCACTGTCATTAAGTGAATCACTGCCGTTGTTAAGTTAGTAACATGGTTCTTAAGTGAATCTGGCTTCCCCGTTGACTTTGCTTATCAGAAAGTCACAAAATGTGATCACCTGATCCCAGAAAACTGCAATAAGTCATAAATATACAATAAGTCGTTTGCCAAGTGTCTGAATTTTGATCACATGACCATGGGGGGATGCTACAACGGTCGCAGGTATGAAAAACGGTCATCAGTTACTTTTTTCACCGCCTTTGAATGGTCACTAAATGAATCATTGTAAGTTAGGGACTATCTATCCCTAGAACAAAAACTGGAGGCTTTTTTTAAAAAAAATCTGGATAACCATACAGAATAGAATAGAGAATAATAGAGTTGGAAGGGACCTTGGAGGGCATCTAGTCCACCCCCTGCTCAGGCAGGAAACCCTATACCATTTCAGACAAATGGCTGTCCAGTCTCTTCTTAAAAACTTCCAGTGTTGGAGCATTCACCGCTTCTGCAGGCAGCTTGTTCCACTGATTAATTGTTCTAAACACTGTCAGGAAGTTTCTCCTTAGTTCTAGGCTGCTTCTCTCCTTGGTTAGTTTCCATCCGTTGCTTCTTGTCCTGCCTTCAGGTGCTTTGGAGAATAGCTTGACTCCCTCTTCTTTGGGGTAGCCCCTGAGATATTGGAAGACTGCTATGTCTCCCCTCGTCCTTCTCTTCATTAAACTGGACATACCCAATTCCAGCAACCGTTCCTTATATGTTTTAGCCTCCAGTCCCCTGATCATCTTTGTTGCTCTTCTCTGTACTCTTTCTAGAGTCTCAACATCTTTTTTACATCGCGGTGACCAAAACTGGATGCCGTATTCCAAGTGTGGCCTTACCAAGGCGTTGTAAAGTGGTATTAACACTTAATGTGATGTTGATTCTATCCCTCTGTTAATGCAGCCAATTTCATTTGTCTGAAGTGGTATAATGGGGTCTCCTACTTGAACAGGGGGTTGGACTAGAAGACCTCCAAGGCCCCTTCCAACTCTGTTATTCTGTTCTTCTGCTTTATTCCCGCCAACAGCAATAGCCATTCAAGCCTGACGGTCTGCAATTGTTCCGTTTCTCCAGAAGATGTCCCCTTTCTCCTGCCCCACTTCCAAGTGGGAATTGCAAACTTCCCCCTTCCCCCCCTTAACTCCCCTTTGCTCTCTCAGCTCCCCCCTCCCCTGCTCCACCCCCTGAACTATTTCAAGCTAAACAGAAGCCCGGCAGCTCCTGTTCCAGGTTCCTGGAACTCCTGCCAGCCTCTTCCACCCTTCTCTCCCCTTCCAGCCCTAGCTTAGACCTTCCGGCATGGCTTGTCCCATCTTCTTGGAAGGGGAAAACTGCAAGCCTTCTTGGAAGGAAGCCGCTGCGGGCTACAATCCAGCAGACACTCACTTGGAAATCATGGGGAAGCCGGTAATGGAGCGCTGGGAATCCCCCTACATGCATGCTTTAGCCAGCGTGGCTGCTTCACAAGGTAAGCTCAACCCCGGAAGGTGTTCTGCAGCCTCCATACAGGTAGGCCTCGACTTACGACCAAAACAGAGAGCAAAATTTATGTGGCTAAGCAAAACATTTGCGAAGGGAGCTTTGACCCATTTTATGACCTTTCTTGCCGCAGTTGTTCGGCAGCCCCAGAAGGAATTAGCTATCAGAACCTTTGCACGGCTAATAACATTCTAATGGCGTAGTTAAAAGTATAACATGGAATTTTGGAAAGCGCGGTAACCTTTTTTCCACCATTGACAAAAATGCCGAGGTCTGTATATATCAACTAGTCCAGGGGTAGGCAACCATGGCTCTTTTATGACTCGTGGACTTCAACTCCCAGAATTCCTGAGCCAGCCTGGCTTAGCATGGAAACCTTTCCCTTTCTCCTCAGCATGGCTGGCTCAGGAATTCTGGGAGTTGAAGTCCACGAGTCATAAAAGAGCCAAGGTTGACTACCCCTGAACTAGTCACTCAGGTGAGATGGGTGGTGTGGAAATTTGATAGATAAGTAAACAAACTTCTGCTGGAAATGTCACAAATGCAGCCAGCACACCATTTATTTGTTTTTACACACTCCACTTTGACACACATTGTCACCCTTGCTCAGATTGTCTGTCTATGTGT